CCCTTCCCCTATGATTTAATGGGCCTTACCTCTGAATAGAATTAAACATTGATTTTGGTGTCCTCCCTTTAATGTTTTGTATGGAATTACATTTGAGGGGGGTGGTTGCTGCTGTTCTAATTATATTGTACTTTTATAAACTGTAACCTGCCTTGGGATTTTTCTGGTGAGGGGGGTGGCCAAGAAATACTGTTACTACTAATAAGCATTTGATTACAACCTTAGTCCCTCATGCAAAGGTTCTTAGTCAAGCTACAGAGCAGGGGTGGGGAGTTTGTGGTCCTCCAGATGTTATTGAATTATAACTCTTATCATCCCTGACAATTGGTCACAGTGGCGTAGACTGATGGGAAATGGGGTTAATATAATCTGGAAGGATATAGATTTCCCACCCCGATATAGAACATTTTTTGGTTCTACCCCTCCTTGCTACTCAAGAGGTTACTTACAGGAATGGGTCATTTCCCACTGACTCTTCCAGCTGACCCTTAGATAAAGTTAGTTGGAAACAGGGGTTGTTTTTAATTAAAAAAACCTTTCAAAATATAGGTCTTTTTTGTATGTATTGTCATCCAGACAGGGTTTGTTTTAAGTTTGTGTGGGTGAAAAGATGTGATAGTCACCTCCTTTGTACACTTTGCAACATCATCTTAGCACACAGGATTTCAGTTTAGTCATGCAAAGCCAAAGTTGCTAGCAAGAAAAATAAGCTGGACTAAAATTGTTTATATCTCTGTAGTGGGTGAAATATGGTGCAAGTGAGATGAGATCATAAATGCCTTCTCCATCTGCTCAGTGCATCTTGTTAAATCATTAACAGTAACATAATAAAAAGCAATCACAAACATAATGCTTAAAATTAAACATCATGAACCATACAAATCTTGGAAAAGCTGGCAGCTAAGTCTTGCATATCTTTCAATGAGAAAAGTGCATTCCTGCACTTTATCTTGGAGCCCATCTCAAATCCAAAGCCTATCACAGAAAAGGCCCTGATATTGTTTGCTAAAATAATTTTAATTGTGGGCTGACCTGCTTATCATAAAGGTGTGCACACACTCACAAAGTCACTTGACTTTGGACTGTGGTTATCACAATATGCAGAATGATGGCAAGTACTTGGGTGTCTCATTAAGCTGTTCTGAATATACCATAATAGGGTATAGGGTGGTGACTTGAACATTCCTTTATTTGTGAGTCTTTCAGTGCAATCCAAACCCAAGATCTGCCAGAATGAGTGAGTCTGTATTTGGGTCTTGGGCTTGCCTGGCTAAACTGGGGCTAAGATAGCATAAATCCCTCAATTTAGCTCATCCAATGGAACTGAGCACTGGCAGAACATGGCCTTAATTCCTGAAAGGGCATTCTGTGGGTAGGGCCAGCAGCGACTTGCACCTGTTTTTAAACCCTTTCAGCTCTGTGACGTGACTTAGCAATGCAGTGGAACCTCGCCAACACCAATGGTGGTATATTTCAAATTCCTCCTGAACAGAGTTTGGAACAGCAGTAGCTAAGTGCTGCTTTCTGTAGTTAGGTTTGGTCTGTTGGTCACTCACCCCCAATGCAATGGCATGCACAGTATGGACACAAGGGAAGAATTGCCCTATTAACTTTGGTGTTGAGGAGTTCTTCTGCATGCATCACATAATGGAAAATTGTCTTCTTCAGAACATGGCTGAACTGCTGATGTTTGGAAATTTAGATGATGCTTAAAATGCAGACTCTCGAGGTTACAAACCATGAATGGTTTTCATATAGGTTTTACTCAGAGTAGACCTGCTGGAATTAGTGGACACAGCTTGGCCATGTACATTCATTTTAGTGAATCTGCTCGAAGTAAACTTAATTGAAATACTGCCCTCTTTGCATGGATAATATGTTTGTGCAAACAGTGTGCCAAGCCTTAGAGAAATAGGAGATGTTCTGTTGTTAGAACAGCCTGTCTAAACAAAACTTCATTAGTAGCTATGCTTCTATTAGTGTTTTGTGTGGAACTGCTGCACCTCATGTTTATTAGGCATCCACATTACATCATCCAAGTATTAGCCAGTCTTCCTGTGCTTTCTCTCAGTTTCTTCCATCATTTCTCATTGTGTACAAATCTGACTTATTTGGAGAATTGGAACAGTAATGCAAACTCCATAGGTGTAAGTGATTTTTATTGCTATTTTCTGCCTTACCGTAAGGTGTGCTTTCCATTTATAGAATGTATCAGGAAGGTGAACCTCTAGCACCTTAACATGCCTGCACGCTAAACTTTGTGATGGGCCATTTGAGCACCATATTTATTTTCAAGCTAAAAATAATTTCTTTATGGTCAGCTGACCACCAATAAAATAAAGTTGTAAGGCAGGGGGTGGGGATCAAAAGGCAAAATCAAAAGGGAATATTTGATTATCCAAGTGAAATAGCTGCATTTAGGAATTTTGCAACTTGCCCTTTGACTGAAGAGTCCTCCAGTACAGTCATACCTCGGGTTGAATGTGCTTCGGGATGAGCGCGTTTGAGTTGCGCTCCGTGACAACCCGGAAATAACAGAGCGTGTTACTTTTGGGTTTCGCCACTTGCGCATGCGCAGACACTCAAAATGACGTCACACGCATGCGCAGAGCCGCTGAAACGTGACGAGCAGATGCGCAGACACGGGTTACGTTTGCTTCTAGATGCGAACGGGGCTCTGGAATGGATCCCGTTCGCATCTAGAGGTACCACTGTACTGTATAAGAAAAGATAAACAGATTCTTCAGTATAAACTGCATTTAAAAAGATGTACATATAACTGACGCACGACAAAGTGGCAGTTAAATTTCAGGCTGGCAGTTGCAAAGAATGGTAGAGTCAGATAAAATGATTATTTTTCGTAACTGATATTGTGAATGATGACAGCGAACTTGAGTCAAGAACAAAGAAAGTGGATCCTAAAGCAGCATATCTACTTTTGGGCCACCCTGTATTTAGGAGCAGATAGTCAGTTTAAATAAGGCACCCCATTCATAGAATTAAAATAGGCAAACCTAGTAATGAGGGAGTTTTACTTAATTCTAAAACTCTTTTCTGGCATTAATCTCTCTCCCGGCCCTTGCAGTAGACCTTAAGGAAGAGTGTGCTAATGTGTGTTTGAGATTGGCAAAAGGGACAAATGCTTCATTTCTCGTCACCAATATTTTAGCAACCTTTTTTTCTTAATTAAACACTTCTGATCTACAATTCCACTCCAAAACATATTGAGCACATTGAATAAATGACCAGCCACTTAATGCTGACTTAAATGGACAAGGATGTGGCTCCTCTTTTCCTCTTGGGTAGCCTTGTGGAAAGAGACACTCCTGGCAGGGACGTTGCTACAAAGGGTGCATGAAAGAGGGTTGATATTCCAGCCACTGTATGGAAGGTTTTTAAATGTTGGGCTTTCTGGGTTTTGTGATTTGTGATGGAAGCTTTATGAAACTTGGTTCTTTTCTTTTAGAGCCCACAAATCCTTTAAGGCAAAAATATGTGGGAGGACTGCTAAAAATGTTTGTAACCTAAGCTTATTTGTGAACCTACTTGCAAGTCTACTAATTAAGCTCCATCAACTCTCTGCATCCCAAATTGCTGGAACAGTTTTGCCTCAAATTTACTTATTTAAAGGCATTTCTAAACCACTTATTTAAAAATCTGTAAGTGGTATTCAAAAATAATGTAATATAAAATATCATAAAAATCATAAAACAGTATCAGAAAGACCATAAAATACTTTAAAAAACAGACCATCTCATGAATCTGGCACAGAATTACCTTCTTTTGACCATGAGGGGGAAAATGGTACTCATATCTCAGTTTCAGAGTCTGTTTTCCACATTTCAGCTGTTCTTAAAAACCAAAATACATTAATAAATGTGTACATTATTGTGATAAAGCCATTTTTTTAGATGAGTTTTTATAAGCAGCTGGAAAATATTATTGGAAAGCTGACTTGGCTGTAGAAATAACTTCAGGGAGAGTGTGTAAAAGGGGTGGGGGTAAATTAATGGTTGGGTTTGCGGGTCCTTTCATAGTTAATCTTCTGCTACATTATAAGGAAACCTCAACAGTTATTTTGCAGTATAAACTCTACAGACATCTAATTTATGGCAACTCCCCAAATGTTTTTGTGCTCTGTTCTAGAAAGTTACCAGCCTCTGTGCATGCAACTTAAAAACACAGGACTTACAAACATCTCCTTTTTTTAGTGTGAGCCTGTTTAAAGTACAGTATAGATATGGATTAATAACTCATGATTAATATAATCACTAGGATGATTTTGTACCAAACTAGATGTGACATAAAATGCCACTTGGCATTTTATGTGCATTTTTTTAAAAAAACAACACCACCCTGTCAGCTGGAGATGGCTGATAATTAATTATCAGAGCAGGTGTGGAGAGGAAATTTAACACTTTTCTTCAATGCTTAAAGACTTGAGGGAAAACCCTTTTCTGCAACCAATAGAAAATATTTTTGGGGAAATTTGTCACTGCATAGAGAGGAGATATCTATTGCTGTAAAAACTCAGAGGAGGGATTCAACATTAGCAAGCTAATTGGTTTAAAATTCTTACCTCCTTGGACAACAACTGTGATCTGCAAAACACAGTTCTTATTTCTGCAAACAGTTCCTGTTTCAGCTGTTGGGAACGAAGAGCAGTGGTCCCATAGCACTGATTGACTCTATAGCTTGGTGGGCACTGAAAAAAGGGAGACCTCGACTGGTCCTGTGCATCCATTCTGCCCTTTGGGGTCCTAGTCAGATAAGTGGAGTCAGGTGTGTGTGCTGTACATAAACTTGTAGAATTGTTGGATGTGGTGTTTCCCTTGCATCCTAACCTGCTATTTAGAGCACACCAGCATGCATAAAGCTATTTTTGCAGTCTCTACTACAGAAACTTAACTGTAATTAGCCTTACATCAAACTGTAAATGAACAGCAAAATACAAATGTTTAAATAACCAGTGTTCCTAACCAGCATTTTTCTTTTTTTAGGCACTTACACCTAAACAAGAAAGCGACAGACAAACAGCCATATAGCAAGCTTCCTGGTGTTTCACTTCTGAAGCCTTTAAAGGGTGTTGATCCAAACCTTATCAACAACTTGGAAACCTTCTTTGAATTGGATTATCCCAAAGTATGTATCAACAGTCTTCTTTTTTTAAAAGCTATCCTCTTGGTCTTCTCTCTTGCCTAATGGAATATTAAAATGCATAATACTTCAAAGCAGCCTTCTCCAACCTGGTGCCCTCCAATGGTTGTTGGTCTCCAGCTCCCATCAGCCCCAACCAGTGTGGCCAATGGGCTGGGCTGGTGCAAACTGTAGTCCAGCAACATCTAGAGGGCACCACACTAGGTAGGGATGGCTGCTTCAGAGATTGTGTGTGTCTGTGTGTCCTGTAACCCTTGTGGATTACTGTCAGAAATTTTGCATCTGTAACGATAACCAAAATAGGTTGTAGCAGGCATCTAATTCCATACCGATAAATGGATTGAACGATTTGTTTTCTATGCCCCCGCTGGGTAACAGGCCTTTGGGGTCAGAGTGCATAACAAGCTTACACTTGTTCCTGCATGGTTTGTTGGACTTGAGCTACTTTCATTTCAGTATTCTCCTCCAGTACAGAATACTGTGTTTCTCAGAAAGATCTTTTGCAGAAGCACTAGGAATAGAGTTTTTGCCAGCCCAGCTCCAGTTCATTTCAGTGGGTCTGGCAAAAGTGATCAGTGAATTTTAATGACTTTATGCACCAGTAATCCATGTTTTACTTTTATTTGTGCTTGATAAGATAGTTAATGTTGTAGATGAATAAATTCCATATAAGAACAGTATTATGTAAGCTCACAGATGTTGACAGTGTCTTCCCAGAACTTGTGATGTGAGTACGGGGTCAGTTGTTTTCCCTTACTACATAAAACTTGTTCAGACCTGCCTACTATATGCTTTGAACTGTAATTTGCTGGCCAAGTGCTCTTACTCACATCTGTCTTAGTTGATACTGACCTATATGAACTGAAGGAATTCCCCTGGATGAGCTAAGCACTGTAGCATATAAAGTTACAATGTGCTACCCGGAATCTTGGCAATATATGACAATCCCTCAATTCATTTTCTGGGATACAGATGTCTTGTTCTTAATTTCATCTGTCTTTTCCCTTTCTTTGTAATTTTATTTTTCTTGGTTTTCTCTAGTGCTTAAAATTGCGGTAGCAGTGACTCGCTTGTTTCGTAAGAGAAGGGGGGAAAGTCCTAATATCATGAAGAGCTAATTTGAATAAGTGCAGTATGAGAAGAGCCATACTTTATTTCTTTTTAGATATTGTATTATATTTGGCCCAGATTCTAAACTTTTATTTACTGCAGCTTCGTATAACATCAAAAGTTTCATAGAATTGTAGATAACCCCAGGGGTCATCTACTCCAGCCCCCTGAAATGTAAGAATCAACATTCTTAGAACAACATTCTTCAGGGTTGTTGTTTTTTAAATAGAAGTATTTATATAATGCCCTCTATATATATAAAAAAACATTTAAAAGAACACTAAAAGCAATGGAAAACAATAATTAAAATGATTGGCTACTCAAAACAGCTGTATTTGCCTGTTAGCATACAGTCTTCTAAAGATGCTTGAAAGTCAAATGCACGGTTTCTCCTAAATCTCCTGGAAAAATGTTCCACAGTATGGGACTGTTGACTTTAAATTCCTGGCTTCTGGCTGAGGCTAATTGCGCCTTTGTAACATTGGGGGGGGGGCGGGGGCGGGGGGACTAACAGCACTCCTCCAAATAATCTCAGTCACTGAGCTAAAATAGAAGGGCCCAAGCAGTCTTTAAGGTATTTTGGACCTACCGTATTTTTCGCCCCATAGGGCGCACCGGCCCATAGGGCGCACCTAGTTTTTTTTGGGGGGGGGAAAGAAAAAAAATTATTTCCCCCCCCCAGGCGTGGGGCTGGGGCGGGCGAAGCCCGAGCTTCCCCCGACCCCAGCCCCCAGAACAGGCTGCTATCCGCAAGCCTAGGGAGCCCGGCGGGAAGTCGCGCTGGGCTCCCTAGGGTTGCGGAGAGCTGCGCGAAGCCCGGGCGCGCTCTTCGGCGCGCTCCAGGCTTCGGCATGTAGGCAGCTCTGTGCAACCCTTGGGAGACCGGCGCGACTTCGCGCCAGGCTCCGTAGGGTTGCGCAGAGCTTCCTGAAGCCTGGAGAGTGCGCACCGACCCCTCTCGCTCTCCAGGCTTCAGCGAAAGCCTGCATTTGCCCCATAGGATGCACACACATTTCCCCTTCATTTTTGGAGGGGAAAAAGTGTGTCATATAGGGCGAAAAATACGGTAAGTTCAAATCCAAGTGATGGTGACATTTATTGTAATGGTAGAATTTTAGAAAGGTGAGTTAAACATTATTGTCTGCTATCAAAAATGCTGATTCAGAATGTTAAGATCAACCTTCCCCATCCCCATTCACATTTATGCAAAATCAATACTTAAGGATAATTTGCAGTATATACTTTATGTAGAATATATCTAGCCTCGTTAGCTTACCCATCTTAGGTATGATTATTATTTTTTCAGCAGCTTTTTGGGTAAGCAGGAACTGTATAGTGATATTTATGTTAAAATCTTACTCACCTGAGCTCTCTTCTGGGAAAGTAGTTGAATTATATCCTGAGTAAAATTACGTCTGCACTATTACTCCATGTCTCTTGATTATTTTTCCTAATTGGAACAAAAGATACAGTCACATCCTGAAATGAATGAATGCATTTCATTGGTTTCTGGAGGGCAAGGGGAAAGGGCTTAATGGCTGCATTATTAGTGGCTGAGTTTGTGAAACCATCAAATGAAATATTATCAAGAAGAAAAGGGAAGCACTGGCACATTCTGTTTTATAGAATGGATATTTTCTATCAGCTTATCTGAATGCTGCTGCTCTAGGATTTCTGTGGCATAGGACTCATGGAAAACAGATTTATTTATTTTTATTCAACTAGGGAAACTGTTGGGCAAATTATGGCAGCAGCGCACATAGAACTCCTGTCAGAAATGTAAACCTTCTGTGAAGTTCCATTTCTGTTTATAGAAAAGCTTGTGTCTAAGGTTTTCTAGAGGAAACAAATGTTATCTTCTGATGGGGAAAACTTAAGAATATTGCTTTGACAAACAAGATAGTGTAATATCTAATATCTTACATCTTACACCCTTCTCCTTTTTTATTCTTGTCATTAAACATTAAACTGTTTTCTCATATATATATATATTATCTCAATTTGCACTGTATCTCTTTTCACAGTTTGAAGTGCTTCTTTGTGTACAAGATCATGATGATCCTGCCATTGATGTGTGTAAAAAGCTCCTTGGCAAATATCCCAATGTTGATGCGAGGCTATTTATAGGTGAGTGAGGAAAGAGTTCTGTCATGCTGTTGCCTTTGAATAGATTGGACCAGTTGGCACAGAACCCAAAAGATTTTTTTTTAAAAGCTTAATATGTTAATATGCAAGTACTGTTGGTCAAGAAGTATGTAAAGCATTCTTGCTGCAGAGTTGAAGATCAGTAAATCAAATTCAAACAGCGCTGAAAATAACTTTTCTGTGCAGGTGACTCCTTCCATATAAATCTAGAATTAAAAGATTCCTACCATTTCGAAATGTATCTCTGTCATACACTGTTCCAAATGGAAATAGCTTGAATGCCCTATTTATCCATCCATTCTTGTATGTGTATACTGCCCTTCCTTCAATATATCCCAGGACATTTCACAGTGAGATTTAACAATAAAGTACAATCATATAATTAAAATAGTACAAAACAATTTTTAAGAGAAATTGAGTTTTCAGGAAAGCATCCATGTAGCAGTAACAATTCTGGATCTGCGTTGACAATGGCTGATTTCTTTAAATTTTAAATTTTCTTAAAGTTTTGTATCAGCAAGTTCTCTGTTGTAAAAAGAAAGGGAGGGAACCTGATCTGCAGTTTCTCTTCTCTAACCACTCCTTTTGTAAAATGGCTTGCAAGTATATGTGGAAATCAGCTGTGGAAATGCAGCAAAGGTGTTTGCAAACATGTTTGCTATAAAAGATGATATTATTCTCAGCTTTCCAACAAATACACTTAGTGGCAAAATAGAGAAGTTGACCGTGCCCCTTATTGCTTATTGTAGTATCAGCTGAGCTGTTTAGTAAATAGAAGATGATGGGCTTGATTTGTACAGCAGCACCATTTAAGAGATGTGGATGCACTTAGCCAGGTGCTATCTTAATCATGCTTATGTCCCCATCCATAGACGTCTGCAGATTATGGAAACATCCTAGAGCTCTATCACTGATTCCCAATCCCAGTCTTACTCAGCCCATCTTTACACTGATGTTAGGAATTGGCCTACTATTGTCTCCTCAGCTAGATCAAAATGTAACATTAAGGTTGAGAACCTGGTCAGATAGCAGAGCACCTTAATGTTGAGCTGAGAAGTATCCTTTCATCTCTATTTTTGTTTGCAAAGTAGTATCACTGGTGCAACTGGGGAATTTTAAACCAGGACTTAATGGCTTTGTTGGGTGGTGGTGGTTTAGATAGCTGTACATATTAATTAGTTTGGGTGTGAAGCACAATTTTAACATTTCTGTTCTCACCCTGTCCCCCACCATCATATATTAGAGGAAAGAAAGAAATGTAAACAGTTTGCTAACCCTGCAAAAAGAAAGAAAAGTTTCACATTTTAAATCATAGCACCATCTTGATTACAGAATAACAATAATAATTATACTCTGCCCATCTGGGTGGCTCCCAACAGAATTAAAAGCACAATAAACCATCAAACATTTAAAATTTACCAAAACAGGGCTGCCTTCAGATGTCTTCTAAAAGTCAGATAGTTGTTTATTTCCTTGACATCTGATAGGAGGGCATTCCACAGGGCAGGCGCCACTACTGAGAAGGCCCTTTGCTTGATTCCCTGGAACTTGCTCCTGGTGCCCTGATGCCAGTGCTTTTTTTCTGGGGGGGGGATGCAGGGGTACGTATACCCCTAAACATTTTTGTGAAACTAAGTTTGGCCTCATTGAGGGGCAGTGTTTCAATATGAGTAGGAAAATGAGAGCACCTCTAAATATTTATTTTTAGAAAAAAAGCACTGCCTGTTGCTAAATATGCTTACCTGAGAATAAGCACCATTTTGTTGCAGAAAAGGGTGGTATGTTTTAAAGCAAAAAGAATGAAACAAGCACCTGTAATTCTGTACATAGCTGACCAGCTGCCTCTGACTATGAAAGAACAAAAGGATGCTGTAGTCCTGGTGGGCCCTAGTGTCAGCTGAGCTGCTGATGCAGGATCTGCTGATGCAGGGCCTGTTTGCTGCTGGCCCCACATGCCAAACTCCAGGTGGTAATTTAGGAGGGCTCCCAACCTCAGCCGTAGTTTTCAGCCCTCACTGCACTACTGAGCAGTATATTCATATAAGTATGCATGATTTGTGCAAATAACTAAAATTTTGTATTTTTCAGGTGGGAAGAAGGTTGGAATAAACCCAAAGATCAACAATTTAATGCCAGCGTATGAAGTTGCCAAGTATGATCTCATATGGATCTGTGATAGTGGTATAAGAGGTAAGTGTGTACCATCAGCAGTAGTAGGTTTTAAAAAATGTTTCCTAATTATATGCTCTTAAAGATGTTGCTGCTGTTTGAACACTATCCATGTACATAGCACTTGACAGAGTAAAGTAAGACAGGTAAAAAAGAGCAGAATTTAGAATTAGAATAGTAGGGCATAGACAGGGGTAGGGAAAAGCAAGAATAGCGTGGTTCCAATGTGAACAAGTGAAGTTGTGTTAAGATTAGAATATTATACTTTAGGGACGCGGGTGGCATTGTGGTTTAAACCACAGAGCCTAGGGCTTGCCGATCGGAAGGTCGGCAGTTCGAATCCCCGCACATGGGGTGAGCTCCCATTGTTTGGTCCCAGCTCCTGCCCACCTAGCAGTTCAAAGGCACATCAAGTGCAAGTAGTTAAATAGGTACCGCTCCAGAAGTGGCTTAGTCATGACCCGGAAGCCGTCTGCGGACAAACTCCGGCTCCCTCAGCCTATTGAGCGAGATGAGTGTGCAACCCCAGAGTCTGGTATTATAAGGAATGGCATGTAAATGGGAAATAAGTTCTCTCAATTCACAGCACAGATTAGTTCTGCTGCCAGCTTTGCTCTATGTATTACACTTGGATGAAGCTTGAGTAATTAAACTATATTATCTTGAATCGGCATTAGAGTAGAACATCTTGCACCTTTTATTTGCTGTATCTAGTGTAGCGGGTGCATCTTGTGAAATGTTTTTTATGGCCCAGTGTTTTGCTGTAGCTACTGGGATACTGAAATCCACCTCAGAAATAAACAGCAAGCTTCCTCCTTTCTAACTATTGCTGTTTCAATCAAGATCTCATTATGGTAACTGTCAGCAGGCTGGCCAGAGCTTTGGAAGACACATTACTTAACCAACTATCTGACAATGTCTTCTAGATCCAACACTTCCAGGCCTGAGCAACACTTTAAGCAGTTGAATTTGAATTTTAGAGTTTGCCTCTTACTCTTAAAATTGAAGTGTCTGTAATTGTTGTCTTTATCTTCTACTGCAGTGGGGGACAGACCTCCAGCCCACATGCCTCCTCACCTGCCCTGCACCTGAAATTGGATTTGAGGTGTGGGCAGATAGAGACATGCAAACATAGGCTAAAACGGTGCTGATCAGTGATTGGCAGTGCTTACAAAAAGCAGAGTAGGGCTTTGTAAGTTCCACAGATCAGTTGATCATCAGTGCTTGCCTTAAAGTTCATTTGCAACTGTAATTTGGATTCAAACCATGCCTGCAAACAGAGGAAAATGTCTGCCTGCCGATGCAGTTTGAATCCAAACTGTGCCTGAGGATGGACTTCAAAGAGGGCCTTTAAATGTGCACTGTCAGTCAGCTGATTGGTGCTGACAGCATACCTGTGAAGCAGCATGCTGTCAGCACTGATCAGTAGTTGATGCCAAGAGTGATCCCTTTTGAAGTTGTTGCCTGACATTATTATGTCAGGTGATTGACAGGTGGGGGGAGGTAAGGATCCAGGTCTCAACCCTGATTCTAGTATTTCCCCCCACCCCGTGATTTCAACCTAATACTCATATTCAGAATATTGTAACCAACTATAAACAAAGAGTAAAGGATTTCTTGAAATTATCACTCTTTCCTGTTACTATTTTGCAAACAATATGTAATAATCTACTGCTGTTTGAAAACTTGGATATTATTGAGAAGGCCAATATTTTACCAAACATATAAGGATTGTATCTAGTGGTGTTGCTCAACTGATGGTAAATCTTCCATCAGCAGAATGGAAGGGAAGCCACTTTATGCAATTCCCTTCTCCCCTGAGCTCCCCACCCCCCATAAATCTTCTGCAGAGGGTTGGATGCCCTTCAGAGCAAATTTAGGGATGGGGAATAACTGAAAATGGCTTCCTTTACCATTCTGTGGACAGAAGCTTTCTGCCAGTTGAGAGACACAATTGGGATGTAAATCCATAAGCTTTTAAAAACATTAATCCATGGATGTAAACCACAGTCACATTTCATTTTTAGTAACGCCAGATACACTAACTGATATGGCCAATCAAATGACTGAAAAAGTTGGACTGGTCCATGGCCTGCCCTATGTTGCAGATAGACAGGGCTTTGCTGCCACTCTAGAACAGGTGAGTTTCTTTTTGTCCTCTTCATTTCTTTCCAAATTGTTCCACTCCTCCTATTTTATATACTTAATTTCCATGAGTTAGTCATATTTTCAAGCTCAAAAAGTATAAAAGAAGCACTGCTATTTGAGTAGGAAAAATGTGCATGACTAATAACAGGTTTTTGGTCTTTCACTTCTATTGTAATCCAAATTCCAACAAATTCCAGATTACTTGCTATCGTTGAAGAATAAAAACATTGAAATGTTTTATTGCTTACAATTCCATATAGAAAAAGGATAATAGCAGCAGCCCTTTCATCTGGGCTTTCAGATGACATTAAAGTGAGAAATACATTAGAATTTGTCTTTTTTCTCTTGTCCACATGTCGTTTGTTTTGTTCTTCTGCACCCTGTATTTTTGTGTAAGCAATATATGGGGTGAGAGACCATTAGCCCACACTCTTGAATTCTGATCTACTGGTAGTTAGTACTACAAAGCCTGTAACATTTCCTTTAGGTGAATTGTTATATTTATGGACATGACTGAGATTTTGCTCAGTGGCAAATATATTAGACTTAATTTATGTGCAGTGGCAGGAAGCTGTAAAGGAACAAAAGTTTCTTTAGCGGCTGCTAGTTTAATCACAGGGCATTTGTTGCTTGCTTGATTTGATGTTTCATTGCTTTTTGTCTTGCTGTTCTAACTTTTATGTCTTAACACTTTTTGCCATGGAAAGCCTGTTTTGGACCTGACACTTTACATCAAACAATGTATTGTTTAGTGTAATTTCAGATGAATGTTACTGTGAAAAGAAACATTTTGAGGCATATCTTTCCTTGTCTGCATCCAACTCTATCTATCATACCTCTTTTCCTCATCTTATCCCTTGTCATCCCTCTCCATTTTTTCTACTAAAAAACTCTTGTTATAGAAATTCTGCTCAGGCTACTGTAGCTGGTGCTACAGCTTCTATCCTGTCTGAATAATGTTGACCTTCATAGATCTATACCTGCCATTTTAGCATGTGATAGATCTTTGATGCTCTAGCTTTATGGATCGTAGAAGGAAATTTCCTGAATAAGGAAAGTTGCATTTGGGATTCCTGCAGTGCTTGCAGCAGATGTTACTATAGCTATAAATGGTTGCATAAGGGTAAGATGTTTCTTTTCAGAGCAAAGCTTTACAAACAGTTGCAGCATTTCAAGATGACCAATTATGCATCTGTCTCTGCACTGATTAGAATTCATAATGATTGGTAAGCAAAGAATGCAAGTCTTAAAGAAAACTGCCATGATAGGAGAGAACCATAGATGATTACTTAGCCCTGCCTTTTTCTTTTAACAGGTATATTTTGGCACTTCCCATCCAAGGACATATATTTCTGCCCATATAACTGGTTTCAAATGTGTAACAGGAATGTCTTGCTTGATGAGAAAAGATGTCTTGGACCAGGCTGGAGGACTCATAGCTTTTGCACAGTACATTGCTGAGGATTACTTTATGGCCAAAGCGATAGCTGACAGGTAAGATGATATTCAGATGATATTCAGATAAAGTTCTCCTTGGAGTACATTATTTCAAGCTGACTGCATGCTTTGCTTAAATTTCTTTGCATACGTAGTCAAGCCCAGCCATAACCCACAGCCTTCATGTTAGTGTGGTTCATGCCTATTGGATTGTATCCATTCTCAAGAGTAAATGAATAGCCATGGTTAACTTGTCCATTGATTTCAGCAGGTCTACTGTTGAATATGATTTGTTTTAATACAACCCAGTGACTTCTGAAGCCTAAGTAGTACAATGGAGCACAGTTACCAGTGTTAAAGGGAGTGAACGAGTAATAATTGACTCACATCAATATAATGCTAAACTGATTATACTAATCTGTAAGCTATTTAAATAAAGATTCTATGTTCAGTGAAGCTAGTGAACCATTCTTCTAAACCTATTTATAAGAAAGAGTTCACCCTCTGGCCACCTGTCATGGATGCTTTAGCTGAGTTTCCTGCATTGCAGGGGGTTGGACTAGACAACCCTTGGGTCTCCTCCAACTCTACGATTCTATAATTCTGTGAACTTATTGACTAGTGTAGCAAATGGTTTGTTTGGTTGGTTCATATAAAAATAATTTAAACATATCAACAGTTTCAAAACCAGCAGCAATTAAGACCTTCAAGACAAAGAAGCAAATGCATTTTTAAAGCCCATTTAAACAGTTGTATAGAAGAGGCCACATAATTTGGCAGGGAGGGAGTTCTGTAACCAAGGAACAAGAGCTGAAAAGACTTTCTCTCTTCTGCCTGCCAGCTTAAATTGATGTTGCTGTCAGCCCTATAATCGGAGCCTCCAAAGCTAATATTAACATATGGGCTAGTTTACACAGGTGAAGGTACTCTTTCTTCTAACTTAGTTCAAAATATATAGGCGTACCTTGGATCCCTAGAACTTGGACGTTTTGGCTCCAAAACGCTGCAAACCTGGAAGTGATTGTTCTGGTTTGCTAATGTTCTTTTGGAAACCAAACATCCAACGGGGCTTCCGGGGCTTCTGATTGGCTGCAGGAGCTTCCTGCAGCCAATCGGAAGCCGCACTTTGGTTTCTGAACGTTTTGGAAGCTGAATGGACTTCTGGAATGGTTTCTGTTTGATTTCCATGGTATGACTATATGTCTTTAAAGTAGAGGTGGGAAACCTCTGGCCTACAGGCCTTATTTGGCCCACCAGGTCATGTGCAAAGTGCCCATGTGAAAGGTGCTACAATCAGATGATTGGTTTTGCAGAATGCTTTGAAACTAGTTTCACAACATTCAACAATCAGCTGAATAGCACATCTTGATAAAGCCTTCCACAATGGAGTCTTGCAGAGCACTTTGCTGGGCCTTGCGAAACCCACTGCAATCAGCTAATTATTGGGTCTTGCGGAGACGATTGTAAACTTGCAGAGTGCTTTGAAAAGCAGTTTGTGAGGCTGCTTTTCAACACTGAAATCAACACTGTTTAATTTCAAAATAGTCAGGTGACTGGCAAGTGAGTGGCTTCACCCACCTATCAAGTTTGGCCCACAGGGTGGGGGAGGAGAATCATCTGATTCCCTGGCCAAACCCAATTCCATCACCAGCACTTTGAACTGAGCTCACCAGAAAACTCCTGGGTGTATCTGTTTACAACTTTGCAGATTAAATCTGCTTTGGAGAGGCTGCTACACTTGCAAACTATATCTGCTTCTGTGAAAAGAAAAGTTACAGCTGTTTTATAAATTCTCCATTATAGTGAATGGGAAGGAGAACAAATTCATCTTTAACAGATCTAATTCTGCCCCAAATAATAAGTTGAATTGAAAAGACAAAGAGTAACTGCAAAACAAATTGGACAGCTTCCCCAAACTAGAGATACAAGTAGAATCTTCTGATCTTTGCATACCCCTAGTAGTAGAGTAATAAGCTACATTCAGAAGCACTGTTAACAGCTGTAATAAACATTTAAGAGACGTATTCAGTAAACGAATTTAGTGTTTGTCCTTGACAAGTGTACAGAAGTAAAATGGTCACAAGAACTGTTGCCTGTTATCTTGGTTACATTCTTGGTGTGCATTCATTTTCAGGGGCTGGAAATTTGGAATGGCCACACAAGTTGCAATGCAGAACTCTGGTTCCTATTCAATTTCCCAGTTTCAATCCAGAATGATCAGGTAAAAATTTGAACTTTTTATTATTTCGTTTTCTGGTATCTTCAATTGTAGATCATAGTTTTGATCCAATCTGCAACAGTGCTAAATACCAGTTTACTATATCACACAACATTTTATGCAGGAATTAGCATTAAAAGCAAAATAGAACAAGAGATTGTTTGAAACATTAATGCAAAGTAATTACAAACTGGGCCCTGCAGCAACTGTTGAGGCATGGAGTGCTTCTCTTCGGGGGTGTAGCCCCTTCCTTGTCCCCGCCCCACATTCCTGCTTCTCCTCCTAAACAAGGTAGCATTCTGTGCTCCCTGAGCAATCTCAGTCATCGTTGAGTCATCATTTTTAAAATCCATTTTGGATGTGTGTTTGTGTGGAAAGACTTGTGTCTGATCTTGGCTATGTTTATTTAATTCTTCCATTGATGCCCCTCCCAGCCACCCAGTTGTCACCCCACCAAAAAAACCACACACATAAGAACTCTGCTGGTTCAGGTCAAAAGCCTGACATAATCCTTTTCTCACAGTGGTCCCCCAGATGGCTATGGGAAGACCCACAAACAGGATCGGAGTGCAACAGTGCTCTCTACACTTGTGATTCCCAACAACTTGTATTGGGGCATGGGGCTAGTCTTTGAAATTGCCCTCAGCTTTTTCCTGGCGGATTTTTCTGTACCTGGGCATAGGTCAGAGTTACCTTGAGTCTGTTAGTACTTTTCTATTATGTATTAGTGGTGGTATGGCTACATGAGTATGGGAAGGCTTGGTATTGGCATATAAATACGATCAGTTTTCAATTTCTGACTGCCAACCTGCTGGTTTTTCTACCTTTTCCAATATAGTGTGATTAAAATTGTAGCAGTCATTAAACTAATGATAAATCAATTCAGTTTCATTAATGAGCGCTTGTTTAGTTTATTTTGTAAACAATTCTCAAGAATTAGAACAGAGGAAATCACTTATTTCTTGACGAGGTAACTCTGCCTTCTTCAACTAAGTGCATTGATAGATGGTGGTGTCATCTATTCTAAATAGTTTATCCTGCCTGATCTATTACAATGATTCACAGAGTGGTAGTAACCTTGTTTTCCCCCCACACTCTTAATATTGACATTGTCAAAGTGATCAGTTTTCTTAGTTTACTAGATCTTGGGTAATCTTGGGATCTTTGTCTTGTTCAAAAGGAACATAAGTGAATAGTAAAGAGAACCTGCACAAGCGACGCTGACACAAACCCCCACGCATACATTAAGTAAAACAGAAACACCCCCACCCGACCCCACCCCCACTCACCATTCCCCCCTCCGCCTCTTTCCCCCTTTATTTCCTAATGTAACACTAATGTCTCAACAAATGAAACTGGTCTGTAGAAAACGTAACTTGAAAAAAGAGACATTGCACATACTTTTGTAAACCAAGAAATCTTTAAAAAAAATACATTGTATAATCTTGGATCTTTTTTAAAAAATCTATCTTAATCCATTTTAACCTAATTTGTAGATAGTTATGCTGTATCACAACGACCATTTCCTCTTTTACCACTGATTAGGAGACAGTGCCAGTCCTTATATAGCCAGAATGGTATTTTCACTTGAAAAACGTGGATATATACCAATGTCATTTTGCAAAGTCTCACTGTATAGAAATGAATCAGCTTAAAGCAGAGAGAGAGAAATAAGTTAAAGGATACTCTTCTCGATCCTCTTATTTTTCAAAAGAGATGACGCTTTTCAAAGACAAAATGGGGAAAGCATATGTTTTATAAATGTCTACCTTGAGAAAGTGTTTGGGTCATGCAGCTACTTAGGAGTGAAACACATCTTAATCAAATCTTTCACCATGATAAATTAAGGGCTTCCCACTCAGCATGAGTGGGATTCAACCTCTTCTGGAGGAGTCGTACCCTCTCTGAAATATCTCTCTGAAATATGTCATTAGAGGCTCAGGTATCCTCATCTTAGGCTGGTATTTAGGGGTGGATACCTGTCACCATGCATGATTTGGTAATGGCTTGGATTGCTGTAATGTATTATATGAAACTTCGGCTGGTGCAAAATATGCCAGTGAGCATGTTACCCATGAGCAGGCACGATGAATGCAACTCACTGGTCCTTTCTTTCCTGCGCTTGCTTCAGATTCATTTCTGGGCCTAGTTTATGTGCCAGTTTGGACATATAAAGCCCTGCACTGTGTGGGAACTTAGTACTTCCTGTATGTACCTACCTGTAGTGCAAAGACCCTTCTGTATCCTCTCTCAATCTGAAGCTCAGAGGATGGACACAAAAAAGAAGGCATTTTGATGATGGCCTTACAACTCTGAAATGCTCTCTCTAGAGAAGCTTGGCTGGTACCCGCATTAACATCTTTTTGATGCTGTGTTAAATCCTGTGCTACTGTTGGTGGTTTCAGTGTATATGGGTATTTGAGAGCTGTTTTATCTTTGTACTCTCTATATAGTATTGTTTGCTGGCTTTATTGTGCCAGTTTTACATTTGGGTATTTATGTTGACTGTGCTTTTATTATAGTGGGTTTTTATGCTCCTCCTGGATAAAATATTTTATGAGAAGGCTTCTAAATAGAATAAATATACTTGAAAGCAAGTCCCACTGTGTTCAGTGGGAATTTTTCTCAAGAAAGTGGGTGTCCTTTTTAACAGTTATTAAACCAAACAAAACTAGGGCATTTGTCTCCTGTTGGTTCTTCAATTATTATTCTCACTTCCTCCTAGGTAACATTGGCATTCAAAAAGACAATGTTCATTCTTTTTGAGTAGCTCTCCTTCCATATTGATTCCTTTGTATGCTCAAAGTGGTAGAATTCCAGCTGTTTTTCCTTCACTTGTTTAGCAGTCTGTACCAGCATTTTCCCTGGCTTGTCTCTATATCCCAGATATTTTTTGTGTTGTGCATGCCAAAGACTAGGTTAGCTATTGCCTTCAGTCCCCAAACACAGAAATGCAATGGGGAAATAAGGTGCAGGTATTCCGCTGGCTGGTAAAAACCTAACTCCTCACGCAGACATTTCCGAGTACTGATCATTCATACCAACACTACTGAACTTTGGATATGTTTGTATATCGCTGCATTGTGTTGATTTTATTTTGTTAACAACCTTGGTATTTGCAATGGAAATGCATTCTATAAACAATCTTAAATAAAATAGCATCTTGTTAATATAACTTGACAAGTATTGTCAGGTTTAAAATACATTTTCCCCCTTTTAATTATAGATGGGCCAAGCTACGGATCAACATGGTTCCAGCCACAATAATCTGTGAGCCGATATCGGAGTGCTTTGTTGCAAGCTTGATAATTGGATGGGCAGTTCACCATGTGTTCAGATGGGATATAATGGTGTTTTTTATGTGTCACTGTTTGGCATGGTTTATATTTGACTACATTCAACTCAGGGGTGTCCAGGTAAGTTGTATTGATCAGAGCATTATATTTAACATGTGTGCTGTTCTAAATTAATTGAAATCATTGACATAACTTTTAAAAAATGTGTTAGAACTTTTTCATCCTGATTAGAAGACGTATTGTAAATAGCTGTGTATAGAGGTAATGAGAGCTGTATTCTGACATCACTTGGAGGAAACTGCGCTGACAGCCTCTTATGTAATTAATGCTTTCACTGAATGAATTGGCTGGCTGACCAAGCGGTATGCTCATTAGACAGGCAAGATTATATTTAAACTTCAAGAGTGATAAATTAATTTGCTGGCAGGCCTCACTGAAACAATGTTGAAAGCATAATACCTGCTTCAACTATGCCAATACCCCTCTGGGATGTTAGTTCTGACACAATTTTGTGAAGCTTCATGTCTTCTTCAGCTACTTTCTCTCTGCTTTATATATTACTTGACTAGAAAAACTGCACGGACACCTGTTGTCTTCACCTTCAGCTAACAATAGGATTAGCTGCTCTGAGTAGCCATAGTCCTTCTACTTCTGAGTACATGCAGAAGGTCCCAAATTCAATTTCTTTTATCACCAGTTGAGAGGATTAAAAGACTAGTGTTTAGCATTTTGAAGACCTTCTCAACTCAGAGTGAACTGTTCTGAACTAGAAAAACCAATAGTTTATTCCTAAGGAGAATCAGTAAGCATCAATTATGAAATGCATGTATGCCCTTGGAAAGATTCCTTATCAAATTGAGTTTAGCCTGATTTGCATGTCATGCTGAGTCAAACCATAGCTTACTGCAAACATGTCAGTGTGTGGGATGTGGGAGAGAAGATTGCGGCTGCTATCCTCCGTTGCCGTTGTACTGCTGTGCAGCCATGGATTGTCTTAGTGTGTCATCCAAATTTAAGCTCATGGTTTACTGTTATCCAGAGTAACTGATATGTAGCCAAAATTTGTCGTATGGGTTACAACATATAGTTTGTCCGGCAGACAAGTTCAGACAGCATATTAAGCCATGCCATAACAGTGTGGCAGTAGAATGGCCAGGGAAGACAGTGTGTCCAATATAGGATGGGGGGGGGGGGACACACCTGGCTTGCTAGTAGCAAATGTGAAAAGGATCTAGCAGGCTTAACATGAGTCAACTGTATAATGCAGAAAAAAGCTACTGCTATTCTAGGCTTCATCAACAGAAGTCTAGTGTCTAGTGTGGTGTTAAGGGAATTAATAGTACCACTCTATTTTCACTTGGTCAGACCACACCTGGAGCACTGTGTCCAATTTTGGGCACCACAATTTAAGAAGGATATTGACAAGCTGGAATATGTGCAGAGGAGGACAAGCAAGATAATCAAGGGTCTGGAAACTTTATGAGGAATGGTTGAGGGAGTTTGGTATGTTTGGCCTGGGAAAGAGGAATCTGAGAAGAGAGATGATAGCATCTTCAGATATCTCAAGGGCTGTCACATGGAAGATGGAGCAAACTTGTTTTCTCCACCCTGGAGGCTAGGACCCGATCCAATGGATTCCAGTTAAAAGAAAGGAGATTCTGACTAAACATCAGGAAGAACCTTCTCGTAGTAATAGCTATTAGACAGCGGAATGGTCTCCCTCGGGAGGTGGTGGCCTCTGATTTTTAAGCAGAGGTTGGATGCCCATCTGTCATGGATGCTTTAGTTGAGATTCTTACATTGCACTAGATGACCCTCTGGGTCCCTTCCAACTCCACAGTTCTGTGATTCTATTATTGTAGTCTCCTCTTCCAGAGCCCATGTGTTCACACTGTTCCGTGGTTTGGCTTAGTGTGATGTGTGAACTAGCCTATGTTTCTCAAGTGTTAGCTTGGGTTTTGCATGGAATAGTGGCACCATAGTGTTGCAGAGCTAAAGAGCAATTGCTTAAGTTTTCTATGTTAAAGTAATTTTTTTTTATCAAGTTATGTTCATTAAATAATTATTTATTTTAGTTGTTGGCATCATCACTAAATGTGAACATCTGTTTTGTCTATTCCCCAGGGCGGTGCTCTGTGTTTTTCAAAACTTGACTATGCAGTGGCATGGTTCATCAGAGAGTCTATGACGATATACATTTTCCTATCGGCCTTGTGGGATCCTACTATTAGCTGGAGGACAGGACGCTACAGATTACGCTGTGGGGGCACAGCAGAGGAAATTCTGGATGTATAGCCACAGCTTTGTGACTGTGTATTTCGAGAAAAGAAAAAGGAGAAAAAAAGAAAGTATTATAAATTATGTTTATATAAAATGCTTTTAAAAAATCTACCTTCAATAGTTTTATTACCTGTATGTTTTCATATCTGTTCTTTAATTTATTTTGCATGGCACTTGCATCTGTGAAAAAGTACATCTGTAGTCTTGGCCAAATGGTATCTTGTTTTTATGTACAAAATCAAATCAAGAGAATTGGTTTCAGGATTCATTTTTCTTGGGAATGTTCTGCAGCAAGTTCTAAAGACAGTATCCTTCAGTATAGTAAAAGCTACTCTTTGTTAATCAAAGGACATAATCCACTGGGAATAAGTTCTACACTAGTCCCCTGGAAATGAAAGGGAGTTGTGCAAGAGTGCAGCTATGACTCTGTCCCCAAGGGCCTTCTGGCCACTGGATTTTATCCACTGAAAGGCTAGCAGCATTTTTATTTAAGTGCAGTTAGCTTTGGGAAGCACAAGTGGCGGGGCACAAGGAGAGAAGCCTTTTAGATGATCTATGCCTACCTCTTGTAGTTGCTGCGGAGCAAGTATAAATAGGTAACTAGGCCTTACAAGTTGAAGCTGGAAATTTGTATCTATGTGTGTGTATGTATATAGATATATATATTAAACAACTTTGGTCTCGCCGCAATGAGCCAAAAGTGGACAGAGTTTGATGTTGTGGGTGGGATGAATTAATGGTTAGCTATGCCTAGAGGGCATTTTTTGGCCAACTCTAATCGGTTCTGTCTTGAACCATTTTAAATCACTGTGCTGTAATTAGCCAAGCTAATCTCCTTCATTCCCATTTTGACTTTTTTAAAAGGGTGGGGGTTTTTGTGTTTTGTGTGTGTGTGAGTGAACGTTTGATAGTTATGGGGAGAGGGGGAATGCATTTCAGAAACATTTCACATACGAGCTATTTTCTTACACACTGTGTCTTCTTAAGAATGTAATTTCATGATGCAGGTATTTAGTATCTTTTTTTAAGTGGGCATAGGTCTCTCTCTTACACTAGTCATCCTTAAATCTCTGATTGCAATAGATACTTGTCAGTATATTAAAATGCAAGATGAGTTTGCTGTTACTGATATGGAATGGTAAGCTTTAACTATCAAACTAGGTCCGCTCTAGGCTTTTTTCTTCCTTTAGTTAATCTGGTCTCTCAATTGGGTTTTTTATATTCAAGTTGTAACAACTGAAAAGACTAGGTTATAAACAAGTTGTAAATGCATGCCGTCTCTTACCCTGTTTCCTCCTGTTGGCTTGTTTTTCACTGGGGGGTAGCTGTTAATGTGGTGAACTGGACTTGTTTGAAACAGACTCTGGTTGCAAAGCAAAATGGAGAGGGGCACAACATAAGCCTTTGTTTTCTTTTTATAACCGTATTTATGTTGCTTTTTCCTCCAAATGGGCATGGCATGCTGTCACCATAAAAGTATGCGTATTCCAGTATGGCAGCTTTAAATCCTAAGTTTTGGTACTTCTGTGACAAAGAGCTTACTCTGTAGCATATTAGCAATAACTCTGAGCATTTATAGAAGTACATTTTTTCCAGTTTACTGAGCCAGTCCATTTAATTGTCCTGTACACACACCGTGTAATATAATAATGTGCGTGTGTGAACACGCATGTTTGTGTGTAGACAGATCCTATGAAACATTCCCTAGACCAAAACCTTTCATCCTGCATTCTCTTTATTTGCCTTATGACATTACAGAATATGTTTTGAAGGGCATCTTATTTCGATGAACAGAGGCTTTTTAATGTGTGTTCCATTATTTACATGTGAATTGGGAAGAAATTCCCGAGGAAGGCTGCACACAGCAAACTAGTCTGGTTATGACCCACTCAAGTTGCGTTTTTGTCATCTTCATTGTTTTATCACTGTTGTCTTGATTAATTTTGCTTATAATGTTTGTGTGGGGTTATTTTGTGTGAAGTTTGGTTGATGCCATCCATTATACTGCTAAAGTGAAGCTTAGCTGGTCTAGCTTGATGCTAATCACCATGTCAGCAGTGTAACAGAAAAACCAAAAAGGCCTGACAGACTTCAGTGTGTGTGTGTGTGCGTGTGTGTTGTCACTATGAAGAATTGTGTCAAATAGGTGTGCGTGTGTGTATATGTGTGTTTGCATTAGTGAAACCTTTATAATTAAAGGAAACTGATGCTTCACTCAGATGAACAACTTGATTTCTTATATAAGAAATCCGGGTTGATTATGAAATGGAAATACTTTGAAAATATTGTAGTATGGCACTGTGACAGAACAGAGCAATGGTTCACAATGGCTAATTTAAACTGTCTGTCAACATGTTAAGAATACCATGTTTATTTAAAATCATTGTCTTGTTTTTTGTTTAAAAATAAATTTTGAATACAATCAAATGTTTTGAGAAAGTAAATCTATTTATCGCCTTTCTCTCCATTACATCCTTTTAAATGCATTTCATATACAACATGTGTGTGACTGTTTCATTAGAAGACCAAAACCTAGTGTCTCTCCCCACCCCCCAATCTTGTATCATTTACATTGTTCTGTAAAATCCACTCCGGATAATTACATTTTCTGATATCAAATTAGGGTTTTTAATAGCCATTCACAAGGAGTTTGTCTCTAAAACTTCAAAGTTCCTTAGAAGCCCAACAAGCTGGAAACCTGTAAATACGTCACTACAAGCGTCTTGCACTCTGGGAGTTTCACTGAATATACTTGTTTCCCATCTCAGCTGCAGAATGGGTGGACCCCTGTAGCTTTGCTACAGAAACATGATTTATTGTTCTTACACCATGTTGTTCAGTCGTTTAGTCGTGTCCGACTGTTCGTGACCCCATGGACCAGAGCACGCCAGGCACTCCTGTCTTCCACTGCCTCCTGCAGTTTGGTCAAACTCATGCTGGTAGCTTCGAGAACACTGTCCAACCATCTCGTCCTCTGTCATCCCCTTCTCCTTGTGCCCTCCATCTTTCCCAACATCAGGGTCTTTTCCAGGGAGTCTTCTCTTCTCATGAGGTGGCCAAAGTATTGGAGCCTCAGCTTCACGATCTGTCCTTCCAGTCAGCACTCAGGGCTGATTTCCTTCATAATGGAGAGGTTTGATCATCTTACACCATACTAACACTTGAATACCTTGTCTGGGAGATGTATTTCAATTGGCAAACCTTCAATAATTTAATTTAATTTGTTATATTTAAATATATATCTGCACTTAATTGGGATTCATAGTGGATATTTTTCACGATTGTACCTTTTTCAGTTGCTTGTTTGCGTTTGTGCAAGCTCCTGTTCTAATTCTGTGCCCTTCCTTAGTTTGGCATTTATCTACGTTCTGATTTAAGCATCAGGTGAAATGCTGTGGGGTTTTATGTTGTTGCAACCCAACGAAGTAGCAGCATAACTGAGGTTTCAAAGGAGCAAACATGTATTATCTTTACAAGTCCATGATGCAGAGATAAGGGCTGAAGAACATATGGTTATCTTTAAAGGGGTGGTGGTGGTTTGAGGAGGGTGCAAAACATTCTACTAAGATTTGCCACAAAGAGAAGAGTGTAAGCCTGCCGGCAGGGTCCTGTAGTTTTTGTTAATTTTTGGTTGTACACAGCACCTAGAGACCTGTTAGGTAATTTCTAAATAAAGTACGATGACACCTTGCCTAAAGCCACTCAATGACTGCTGTGGTTGAATTGGTATTTGAATATCCAGTCATCTTCCTTTTATGGAGCTATGCTAGGGAGAAAGGTGACTGGGAAAGATATAAAATGAACAACAGTTCACTAGCTTTTGAAAAAGAAATGAAATATAATTCAGTAGCTTTTCACTCTCAGATCAATTTTGGCTCTAGTCACACCATTGTATTTTAACATTTGAAATTGCTATTGCAGTTGAGAAGGGTTGTTTATTTTAAAACTCCTCATAGAGGCTGATGAGACTGAGCCTATAAGGCCTGATCCATGTTGAAATGGCACACACAGTTTTAACAAAAGGCATGCTCTGTTCCATCAGCCTGGACTTACATTCGCACATCAGCACAGAGGATGGATTTTCCTTCAGCTAAGTGTCTTCCTTAACAATTGCTTCATGCTGACTAGTCAGCATTGTGTTTGTGAAAGACATCAAATGCTGCGTTGCAACATATTGGATAGACATGCTTCTGGTGCAGATGCTTGAAATGGTGTTGCAACATGCCTGCTGCAACTCATGGCAGCAAAGCACATTTATTAAAGTGCATTATACCCAGCACTGCACTCATAAGAGTTGCACCCAAGCAATGGGACTTCCCCTTTCTCTCTCTTCCCTGTGCACCCTCAAAATCTGTTCTAACCCTTTGGAGCAAATTGAGGGTAGGGGGGAAGAGAGGGAATGGTGATGATGATGATAAGGATAAGAATACCCCACCCACCTGGCTGGATTTCCCCAGCCACTATGGGTCTCATTCAGCACATATAAAAACATAATAAAACGTCAAACGTTAAAAACTTCCCCATACAGGGCTGACTTCAGATGTCTTCTAAAAGTTGTGTACAGTGGTACCTTGGGTTACAGATACTTCAGGTTATGTGTTTTCGGGTTGTGCACTGCACTGAACCCAGAAGTACCGGAACAGGTTACTTCCGGGTTTCGGCGCTCGCACATGTGCAGAAGCACTAGATTGCGCTTTGCACATGCACAGAAGCGCTGAATCATGACCCGCACACAAGCCAGTGTGGTGTAGTGGTTAAGAGTGGTAGTCTTGTAATCTGGTGAACTGGGTTCGTGTCTCCGCTCCTCCACATGCAGCTGCTGGGTGACCTTGGGCTAGTCACACTTCTCTGAAGTCTCTCAGCCCCACTCACCTCACAGAGTGTTTGTTGTGGGGGAGGAAGGGAAAGGAGAATGTTAGCCACTGTGAGACTCCTTAGGGTAGTGATAAAGCGGGATATCAAATCCAAACTCCTCTTCTTCTGCTACAGATGTGGCACTGTGGGTTGCGAATGCTGCAGGCTGCGAACGTGCCTCCTGCACAGATCACGTTTGTAACCTGAGGTTCCACTGTAATTATCTCCTTGCCATCTGAAGGGAGAGCGTTCCAGAGGGAGGGCGCCACTGCCAAGAAGGCCCTCTGCCTGGTTCCCTGTAGCTTCACTTCTCGCAGTGAGGGAACCGCCAGAAGACCTTAAGAGGGAAGCTCCATTGTAAGCAGAAATCTCTACTAGTTGAGCAACAGTGCTGGAGAAGACCCACTGTCTGCATTTCTCCTGCTAATACAGATATTTTAGAAGCAGCTATTCAAACAGCCAGTATGCTTGGGGGGGTGTCTTTAGAGATGCATTTAGTAGCCAAGTTGGTTATAATTCATTCTTGGTAGGCTCTGCAAAGGAGAATTGCTTATATATATATTGTAAAGCCTAGGACTTGCTGATCAGAAGGTCGGCGGTTCGAATCCCTGCGACGGGGTGAGCTCCCTTTGCTCAGTCCCTGCTCCCGCCAACCTAGCAGTTCGAAAGCACGTCAAAGTGCAAGTAGATAAATAGGTACCATTCCGGCGGGAAGGTAAACGGTGTTTCTGTGCGCTGCTCTGGTTCGCCAGAAGCGGCTTAGTCATGCTGGCCACATGACCCGGAAGCTGTACACTGGCTCCCTTGGCCAGTAATGCGAGAGGAGCGCCGCAACCCCAGAGTCGGCCACGACTGGACCTAATGGTCAGGGGTCCCTTTACCTTTACTATATTGTAAAGCCTGGTACATCAAGGACCCTTATCTTCAATCTGCAACCGTAAAAAGCCATGCTGCAGTTGGGACAACTTCATGCTATCCCAGCATCAAAAGCCCACCTAATTAAAAGTTTGCACTTGTTTCTGGGAGGATGCCAAGGAGAGGCAACACTGGGATCCAGTAATATAGTTGGGATACAACCTTGATGTGCCTGAGTGGAAAGTGCTTCCTCATGAGGTCCCTGCTGCTCCAGAGGGTTGGCTGGCCTTGGATGTAAATTGACAGGTCAAGGCTGAGAGCAGAACACTCTCGGTTTGGATCTGAGCCCAATAGCTCTATGAAGCACATAGAGGGCTTTGCAACTTAAAGCTGGTGACCAGTAATGAAACCAGATAATGTATGAAAGCGATAAAACAAATTACAAACAATAGGGAACAGTAACAAAATTCAAACCGACATAGGGCAATAGTTGTTTTGGAGGGCTTATGGAATAGTTAAAGAAAACACTGTATCTTTGGTATTTCCTTTAAATTTGAATCAGGGTGAATACTGACCAGAACCCTGGACATAAAGCAGGACGCAACTTGGAGAAATCCACATCCATGGCCTGAAAGCATACAAAATCATTTCACCTGTTAGTGAAAGAAAAACAGGGAACCTGTGCACCTATTATCATATGACTGGTGCCATGAAAAAGAGAGATCGTAAGCTCTTCTGGCTATTGGCTGTCTGTCTCTTTGCAAAATTCCCCTGCTAAAAGCTTTGTCCCACCTTACTTGCTTTTTCATGACTCTAGTCCATAATACAATTTGCTAGTCTCTTAAAGTACTGTAGGGCTTTTCGTTTACACAATACCCCTCCTAACATCTGTCCAAGTTACATTCTGCCTATAACAATGAGGCCTTCTGTGTCCATTCTTAGATCTAGCTAGTGAACGGCTGCATTATAGAAGTCAGACTGTCATTATTTGGGGCATTCAGGAAGCCAGCTACGCTTTATTGGAAACATGCAGTAAGAGCTGTCGGGATAATTTTTCCTTCAAGTTTTAAAGGGAAACAAGATACTGTTCTGGATACTGGAAGCTTTCAGTTGTGTTTAAAACATTCTTCTTAATGGCTTTTAAATGATAACGAATTCTGAGGGGACTTAAATGACTTCTGGGGAAAGTTTAACCCTTCCTGGTTTTTCCTCTTTCTAGAGAATGTGCGTTTATGCATCACATCTGGCTCTTATGACTGCCAGCTGTTGAGATGCATTATTTTCTTTCTCTGAAAGCTTTCAGTGACATTCTCTCCCCGTCCACCCTGCCCCGAGCTAAGGAAGCTATGAACTATTGGGTGAGCAGGGGCCTGTAAGGGAGAGTACGGTAACCACTGTGTAAACAAAATTTTGTTTAAAAGTTCCTGGCTTTGCACAGTTGTTTTCCCCGACGTTGCCTCTTTTTAATGCTATAAATCGAGAGAGAAAACCCCTCAGAAGATGCAGACCATTAAAAGATCTCTGCTTGATCAGACCAAAGGCTCGTCTAGCCCACAGTGGCTGGCCTATGGGAAGCCACAAGCAGAAGAAGAAGAAGAAGAGTTTGGATTTGATATCCCGCTTTATCACTACCCTAGGGAGTCTCAAAGCGGCTAACATTCTCCTTTCTCTTCCTCCCCCACAACAAACACTCTGTGAGGTGAGTGGGGCTGAGAAAC